TTCAGAGAAATTTTAGATACAGGATGATTCAGCTTAAATAACCCATTAGACCCCTCTTGGCAGACAACCTATAATACACAAAGCAATTATTCCTTGATTCATATTCGAATTTTGAAAGTTTCATGAATCGAAAAATATCTTTCTTTGATTCTCGATATTTTGAAAATTTAATTTTGAATCAAGAAATAAGTACATTATGTGTTGTGTGCCAAGAGGGGTCAGGTGGATCATTTAAGCTGAATCACCCTGTATTTATGTATATTCATTGTAACGGGTGTTTATTTAAAGTTGGCGGTGATATGACAGTGTTGTGAACGGACCACAATTTTTAATACGCCCTTGTAGGTAATTCTAAAAACTTAAAAACTCAAAAAATGTAACATGCAACATTGTAATATCAAGCCAGCGAAATGTTATATTAATTAATGGTTCGTTCACAATCGAACTTTCATGGATAGCTTTGTCGCCAAATTTGAAAAAAACATCCGTTATATCTTATTAAAATAGTAAAAAACGCCACAATTGCTTCATTATTTGAGTGTATTTTATAAAAACATGAGTACTTATATATCATTGTAATCTATTCACAATGTTTTTAGATAAGGGGTGACTGCGATTTGTTTTTTTAAGTTGGACATAATGCTTCAACAAAATTGTATATATTTTTAGTCATAAAATATGATCCTGTTATCAATTTTTATTTCTTAAAATCAACTCAAATTGACAACAAAATTTCAATAATTTTGTTATTAAAAAATTAAAAGAGGTAAAACAATAATATTAAAACAAGACAATAATTATAATTTATTAGATTCAAAACGAAAACAAAAACAAAGAATTGAGTGTTACATTAAAATTTTTCACCTTATATTACTTGTGACAATCTTTTCCAATTTCTTTACATTTATGGTTGCAATTCACTATAAATATTATACTTAGCTCTATATTTTTTTGAATGAATATGTTTTCGTCAAAGAAATCAAATTATTTCAAAAACTAAGCAAAATCGACAAAAGAAAGTTTAGTTTAGATCTACTAGCATTTAAGGCTATATCTAAAAATGCAAAAATATAGGATACTTTTAAAAGATTATAAGTTAGTATTGTATATTAGGAGTACTCATTTTTAAAAATAATTTCAAGTGATGCACTAGGTTAGTTTCTATGATTTTTTTATACAAATTTTTACATAATAATCATTTAAATTGAATATTTAAATAATAAACTTTATCAACTTTCTGAGTCACCCTGTATGTATACATTACTATTCAAATGGTCTGTTTACAAGACACAATATTGTTTTTAACGATAAGCTATCATTAGTATTTATTAGGTTTTACATATTTTTTGTAAATTCTCAAAGGTACAGACATTACAAAGCAAAATTGTTTCACTTTAAATTTAAAATTTAAGCTGGCATCATTGTTTAAAATTTTTGACGCATTCTGTTAACCTATTTTTTAATACGCTTCACATATACAGAATGACAACTTTCAACTTTTCATCGGCAACAACCCCTTCACAGGGTGTTTTAGAACTCGCCGCGCTTCAGAGAAGAACGCCAAGTAATGTTAACATTTATTTATTGAAATTTTACTATTTTTGTGTTTACTTAATGCTACCATGATTTTGTGTAGGTTTTTTCGTAATTAATGAATGTTGCAGGCATTTCACACGGTTTGTTGTTGTGCACGGCCCCTCTCTATTAAAATTTATCATTTTTATCACTCGTATAATAATAAAATCTGCCATGTTTATGCATAAATACTATGACCTTATTCATAGTTGTCGAGGCGAAATAAGCGTGATATATTAATGGATACGGTATACAGTCGTGCTTCGATTGACTGGCTTCGGTCGCGTGGCCACTTGCACCCTGTTGTGCATTCACCCTCGTCAAAGTTCACAATCTATCTCCGTGCCACAATTTTTAATCAAAATCGCAATAATCGAAATGTTTGTAAATGCACACCAGTGCTGAAATTCAAAGCTTGTCGCTGAATAGCTGAAAGTTGGTGGGCAATTGTCAGTCGCTTCACACTCCAACTGCTACAACCATCACTTAATGCAAGTGACTAATGAATAGACGCTGATTGGAGCTATTTACACCTCACTCCCGCGCTCATTACATTCGAAACGGCTTCTTTTCAGAAACCTTTTAAACGCGACAAGAGGGATTGCGAGCTTTCTCCCCACACAATTGAGACTATCTCTTCGAGAAAAAAATGCACGAACCAGTATTTTATTTAATTTAATGCGAAATGTTGGGTGGTGCATTTGGCCGCGCGAGCTGTCGACTCCGGGGTGAATCCGGAGTGTGCGGAAAGCGCTCGCTCCGGGTGAAATTGGCCGCCCCGGGGAGGAAGTGTCCCGGAGACAGCGGTATCCGCCGGCAGCCCGCTTCCGACTACACCGGCTCCGACCACTTCACATTGAATTTATTTTATTTGTTACGTATTATGCGGCTATTCTATCAAACGGTAGAAACTGGACATTGGACCCGTTTTAGTTCAAGTAAAAAACAATTGGTTCAGATGAAAGAATAATCCTGGTCTCTATTATTAATAAAAGTATTAATTAGTATTGCCATAGGTTAAGTTTCTTATCAAAGTGTCCTGTGGCAACTTTGAATAAAGTAGAAATACATAAATGATTGGGATCTTTTTATCAAATAGGCCACAAATCCTAACAACACTGACTATTTATTTAGCATCACAGTTTTCCAATTAAATGTTGTCAATAGACAATTATACAGTGTTTCAGAATTTGCGCTCTAGAGAAAAATTCCAAATTAGATAAGATACCAGAAACACGGAAAAAATGTTTAAAAATTTCATCTGTCAAAAAATTTTGCCATTTATTTTTTAACGTTTGATATTCTTTTATGTCTATTTAATAAAAGAAAGCTGTTAACGTACCCAAAAGAATCCGTTAACAGCCTTGTTAAGCAAGCAAGATTTTATTTATAACACAGTAAATGAGAATTTCAACTGAAGAAACGTAATTTTACTAAAAAATAAATACAAATTCATATAGTAGTAGTTTTTTAATCAAAGTAACGTTTTTTAAAAACAAAATTAACAAATTAGAAAATATTGTAATTAATTTAGTGCAAGAACTGAATACTACAAATATACCTATTTTTATGAAATTCGGTATGGAGTTGTTTAACTTTTTCACACTCATTTGAGTGTTGAAAAGTTCAATTTTTTCTACCTAGAATGAAAAAATTCTGAACACCAATTTCTCGAAGTGTTTGTACGCCTTTTTGTAATTTTTCGGACAGCACCAAGACCGTTGCAGAAGATGGTTCATCTGCTTCCTCTAACATTATTTTCAGGCCAATGAAACCAACACACAAATTGAAAATATTTTGTCACATTTTACTTTGTATACTTTTGTTTTTCATACCAATATATTTATAAGAACTTACCTAATGCAAGGGTTTCTTTTCCAAATTTTATAAAATCTTGTGTGCAATTTGATAGGAAAAGTCTTTTTTCCATTCACGACGTCTTTTTTGACCGACAATAGTTTCATAGATCTTTTGTGGCAATTCCTATAATATGAATGCAAAATACCTTATTTTATTTAAATTAAAAATTGAAAATTTCTCAAGGTCTTTCAAAATTATAAAAAAAAACAATCATAATCGGCGCAGAACATTCTACATACAGGGTGAATATAAAGTATGAAACCAAGCGGTTTTTTTTTAAATCATTTGCTTCCAAATAATAATTAATATAAATTAAAGTAATATAAAAAATGTGATCGTATTTGAGAACGAACTTTGTTTTGTTTTTGAGTTCTTTTTGTCCTAATTGCAATTTATGTAAAAAAAAAGGTTTTGGAAAAATTAAATATTAAGTAGATACCTGTAATCCTTAGTTCATAACTTTTATGAGAAAAATGGTTTTATAGTGGGTTGTCATTAAAAACAATAAAAAAATTGTAGAACTCAAAAACAAAAAAAAATTTTGAAAAATATTCTTGATAAAACGTCACTTAACTACGAAGTTACATGTCGGTCTTATTAGACATTAAACGGTATATTAAATTTCATTAATAACTGCTCGAAGTACTGGTTAAAATTTTAGTACATAGAGTGATTGATTTATAAAGATTAAAAATTAATCATTTATTTCATTTGTTATCATAATTTGGAAATTCTTGTCATAAATAAGCTTTTAAAATTTTTGTTTTGACTTTGACGATTTTGTTCTACCAAGAATGATAAAAGACAGGGTTAAAATAAGCCTAATTTCTGAATTTATTCGTTAAGTTTGCAGTTTTATATGAATTCTCCTGTATAAACCATATTATGTATTATAAAATATTTTTTATAAAGAAATATTTTTTTAATAGTAAAAACTGATACCTATTTATTGTTTTGTAAGAATATTTAAATAAACTTTCTCATGATCTTAAAAACGTTCCATTTTTTAGATAATTATTATTTTTTTAACAATTATTTGATTACAAGAATTCAGTTTATTTATAATCGCGTAGAATATGCCTCTTTCTCTGTAATAATAATCACACATTGCGTGTGAATTTGTAGCTATTTATTTCACTTCATCCCCAATCCATCACCCTCTATCGGCCCTTCCTCGAACTACCCCAACTCGATCTGTCGCGCTTTCTCGCGGCCGGCTTTCAAAGCAACACACAAAAGCTCCCCATTGCGACTTCCTACCCAAAAGCTTCGAAAATGTACCCCGACATCTATGAGCCTTCTTCGTATCGATTTTCGCGTTTTACGAGTCGAAATTTCGTAGCCTGCCTCCGTAAAACTTTTTACGAGTGTCGTTTGTGATCGGGCACCAAACAAGGAAAGGCATTACCAAGTTGGAAATCCGGCGCTCCGGAAACGGCGGGGACGTGTGCCTCCACCATTCTGCTCCGGAAACGCTGAATATTATTCATAGTTAACCGAATCTATTGCGATGTAAGATTGCGACACACCCGTTCTTAATTACGGTGGAAACAAAGTCGACTTACCACATTTCGTTCGGAGAGTCTCCGAAATGCTGTTGTAGGTCTTGGGCGAGGATAAGTGACCGTGTGAGGATTTTTCCGTGCGTTCGAGACCTGTAATTAAATGATTTTTCGTGGATTTTGGAAAATAATAAGTGGTGTGGCGGTTAGGGCACAATAAAACATAATTTACATTTTAGCGTATCTGGAATCGCTATCAGGCCGTATTTATGGGAGTTGAAATGTAGATATTCAGTCGGCAACCCTCGCTTCGCTTGATTAATAGACTACAATCCACCCATTTAGTAGTTCGTAAGTTTTGTAGTAGGGTTGAATAATCTGATAACGACTTTATATTACTCTTACTAACGACAATACGAGCCCTTGATGTTTATACAGAGTGATTACTACACATTCCTTCACATAAATTTCAACATTACTGCTTTTTTTCTCAATTACACAAAATAAAGGAATTTTGACTTAAACTAAATTTAGTGTTTTTTTTTTTAATTATAAATGAATGTTTTGATTTAATTATAGGTAAACAAAGTCTGAATTTAGGGACAAGAAATGTTTAAGTTCTTTTTAATATATTTTGCTTACTGAAATATTTGACAATCAAAAAAGAAGAAAAACAAATATTGACACAAAAAAACATAATCAAAATTTGGTAAACTTACAACATCATATAATGTTTTTATATCTGTTTAAATTAGAAATTAACAATTATTACATTTTCTTTCACGCAAATAAAGTACTTTTACACTTCTTATAATTGTTGCTTTCAAATGGCAAAAATGACAAATTCTTAAATAACTTAAATATGTTTTTTTTCAGCAAAAACTCTTATAAATTAAATATACGAGTACCTACCTTATTGATTAATTATGTTCAAAAAATTGAAAAAAAACTTTACACGCAAGCGAACATCATTATGTTAGTGTTTCAGTATTTTTCTACTAATAAAGTTGCTTAAAAAAACAAAATCGGTATAATTATCAGTATCAATGTATACAGGGTGTGCCAGAACTCGCGCCATACCAGAAACATGAAAAAAATGTTTAAAAAATTCTATCTGTTAAAAAATTTGATATTTATTTTTTGACATTTGATATTTTTTATTTCTATTTAAAGATACTGATGATCTTGTGTATGTTTTTTTTACAATTATTTAGTAAAGGGACAAAAATTTTGCCAATGAAAGCCACAAATAACATTGAACAGAGTTATAATTTAGGATACAGCTTCCTTGTTTCCTCTTTTAATAGCCTATAGCAAAAGAAAACTTGGAAAATTATTTCTCCAACAGAAATAAATAGAGTCAAAGAGCAAACTTTAAACCCTCATAACTTCGAAAGTTTCTAATAATTATAAATTGTCTCCGCTAATGACTCTCTGTGGTTGACGCGGCATATTTAAATAAATAAATAAATAAAACAATAAAATGTTCGAGAAAAAAGTATAATTGGATTTTGACAAAATTTTCATTTTATTGAAAAAGTTGATTTAAAAAAAATATACCTCAGGACTTTTTTATTGCCACACTGGCAACTGCTGATTTGTTTTTTGTGTAAAAAAATTTTGCGTTACAACTGAATCCTACTGACAAATCTAAAGCCACAAAAATCCACTATTTCATACAAAAAAACATTGTGAAAAGTGGCCGAATGGCAAAAGAAAAATCTCGAGATATATTGCATTTTCGTAGTTACCAATAAATTTTGCCAATAAACCCACAAATAACATTAAACAGAGTTACAATTTAGGATACAGCTTCTTTGTTTCCTCTTCTAATAGCCTGTAGCAAAAAATATTGGAAAATTATTTTTTTAACAGAAATAAATAGAGTCAAAGTGCAAAATTTAAACTCTCATAACTTCGAAATTTTTATAGATAGAATTTTTGGTTACATACTTGTAATAAAAACGCATAGTATACCTAGGTGTCGACCTAAAATTTCATGTAAACTTTTTGGATTTTATGATTTTTACATAAAAAAAATTAATTTACAAAGAACTACATTGATGTTAAAAATACAAACTGCCATGTTCGCTAATACAGCCACTTATATAGAAAACTAAGAAAATTTGAAAAATAGTTGATTCAGAATTCGCATTCTTGCAATTGAAAACGGCATTCTTATAAAAAAGTAAGTACTACATGAAATTTTAACTTAAGAGAAAGTGAAAAAATTATGTCAAAACTTCAAAATATAGACTTGAAAAGTTAAAATCACTTATTTTTTACATACCTAGTAGAAATTTTTAATTAAAATTAATAATAATTAATTTTCTTATGATAACTCACACACTAGCCAAATTTTTTTATTAAGACTTATACCTAAATTGAGAAACACTTGGCCCGTTCTTGTTTAATCATTAAAATAAAACACTAAATAGTCAAATACGAAATATTACGAAAAAGTGAAAAAGTATAATAAATTAAAGGTAGAAGTTATTTTTACTCGTACTATTTTGAAATTGCTGTGTACACTTATACAGAGTGCATGGACACTAAAATACATGCTTTTTTGCAGAATTTAAGACAAGTTTTGTGGTAGTCATAAACCAGAGCTAATGATTGTAGATAATCAAATATCATGTGGATCAATTAAGCAAATTGCTTTTTGAAATCACTTTTCTTTCGTTTTCATGAAAATTGATTATTAATCGATGTATGCAATGCAATCAGCGATTATCACGAAAAGATTATATGATTATGTGCGTACAAATTTATGTTGACAGGCTCCCCCCGAGTCAAAAGCATATGTTTCGAGCCATTTAACGAATTAGGGCATGATCATTATAAAGTATATCCATCGATAGATATATAAGGGGTGGTCGTCTTTCCCACGGGTGACTTGACTACGATGCGTGCCAACAACCACTAACCAAACAAACGACCTCCAACAATACAATTAACGATTATTGTCGAATTAAAATGAACAGTGGTGACGGGGGAATCACTTGAAAATGCAATTTTTCCAACAATTTGAAAAAGTCAAGCAAATCAATATAGGTTATGTGATCCATCCGAACGGGCGTTGTTCAAATTGATAGTGACGTGCTTCCGGAGGCTAATTGACGTGTGCGAAGTGATTGATGTGCCGCTTCCTACCGCCATGTTGAATCGGAGAGCTTAATTGTACTCTACGTTATCGCGGCCAACTCTGATTGTTTTCACATCAACCTCTCGAACAGAGGAACATCCAACAGGACGGTGATCTATAGCGGCTTTGTCCCTGGCGAATGAAATTTTTCAATTTTCACCGAAATACGACAGTTTGCACAAACATAAAAACCACCCTGTTTATGATTTCATATTCAGTTGCTAGGTAACTTCAACTAAACTGTCAATGCTATGCTAAATTTTACAACAATTTGAAACAAACTCTAGAAGAATGATAAATTGATGTACATAAATGTACAATAAATAATAATAAAACAAATGTAATGGTCTACACAGATGGTCGTCTTAAAGAATTAAATTTTGTTTGTTTGTTTTTTTTTTTGCATTTGTTTTCTTTGAAAAGTTTTATATGTAGTTGTAATATTTAAATCATATTTTTTGTAAAAAAAATTCTTTATTTAGGTTGTCGTTTAAATAAAGTTATAAATTATAAGCAAGTTAAATCAAAAATATTGAAAAATTGCTTGGCTTAGCCTGTAGGTATATTTTAGAATGGCTTTTTATTTAGTCAGTTTATAAAAATTTCTGGATTAGGTTACATAATAATATCGAGTGAATAAAAAATGTGTGGCACCACGAATACACCTCTACAAATGAGAATAGATAGCACAGTATTTATTCGACTACTTACTTCAAAAAATAGAAAAACTAAACCTTTCTCAAAATCGGTATGAAGAATGATTTTCTGGAAATATTTTTGTTATCGTTAATCCGATTATTATGAAACTTTGCATGTTAAGGGACAAAAAGACATTTTTGAAGTCTTGTAAAAGCTATACATTTTTAGTGACAATGGAGCCTCTCCAGTTTTTGGGTCATAACATTTTTTAGCCTATTTTTGATTCCAAAAATTAAGTACCCAAATTTTTTTTTTATAAAAAAGGTACTCTTGTTTTATATCGCCACCATATACCGTTCTCGATTTATTTGAGTTTAAACTAAACTCTACATGGTTACAAAATTCGAATTTATGATTTTTGAGCGTATCGTTATCTTGGAAACGAATGACATCGCTGTCAATGCTGACACTGCTGAATGTCAGTTTCAATAGATCTAAAGTAAAATCATTTTAAAATTATTTTTTCATACAGATTTTTGGAAAGGTGTAATTTTTCTGTTTTTTGAGGTGGGTCAATAAATATTGTGCTATATCTTATTTGTAGAGGGGTATTCGTAGTTAAAATTATGCTAGGTACACCTTTTTGAATCAACTAAAATAGTAAAAAATAATACATATGTAATTTTATCAAATTAATACAAAATGTTAAAAACTTTGTATCCTGAAATAAAAGTATCAACTCATAGAAAGGCTATTTTTACAATACTCATATTTTGTAATAATTTTAATTTTTGTAAATACTTTTAACTTATTAACTCCAAATGTTATTAAATATTTTTTCAGGTACGATTTTTATACAAAGACTATACAAACTATCCCACAAAAGCTCACTACATTCAAACTTGCAGATAGATACTAGTTTATACAAAATTTCAAACATTTTTTTTGTAGGTATTTTTAAAAGACGAAATTTTGGCTACACTGAAATATTGAAAATTTAACAAAAAAAAAACTGTAATTAAATTTTGAATTAACTAACTAATATAAAATAATTTTAGGCCTTCAGAGACTCCGAAAAAAAAGATACTTCATGATAAATAAAGTCCATTAATTCTGAGAGAAATTACCGCACAAATTTATCTATTTAGTACATATTTAAAAACAAACACCATTTTTTTTCGGCAAGATTTTATTCATCGACATCTCGTGGTGAAGATAGTAAACGCATAAACCCGTCATGCGTTGACAAATCGAAATTTAAATTAACTAGATTTTTAATCTATTTTAATCAACTCGTTAACACTCGTAGTTAATAATCCTCTCCTGAAATAAAGCGTCCGATTTACACTCAAACTCGTCGAATAAA